TCGTTAGACTCAGGAAAAGGAAACCAGCATCGTATAAAAACAGTTAATGATCTTTAAATGACAGTTTGGCCGTAGGAAGTCCAGCTTTAAACCCTGAATGATGTTTCCATGGCGACCTCGTGGTGTGTTTAGTGGATTTGTCTGTTTGGAACAACGTGCTGCCACCACAGGTCCCAGCAGACTATTCCCGCCTGAGCGGCACGTTTTGATGCGTTTCTGCATGAATTTCCTGTAAAGCTGCAAAAGGAGGAGCAGCCTATCGTGGAGCGAAAGCAAAGTGACCCTCGTCTCCACCGCGACAGCCGGTGACTCAGCTACATCCAACGACAACGGCAACGTTCCACATTTGTTTGTAAGATGCTAAAAATCTAAGTATTCCAGTTGCAGGGCGATGAAAACGTTCACTCCTTTGATTAACTCCAGCCGAGATGATGAGAGGAGGAGGTTAAGAGAAGCAGAGAGGCTCAGTGGCCTCGTGTGTTCCCATGAAAGAGCAAAGATCTGAAGACTGGAAGATGTTTAACGATGGAGCCAAGATGGAAGAGCGTCAAAGGAACAGGAGGAACATCAGAAAGGATGGAGAGAGAGAGATGAGAACCCTCGCTCCGTCAGCCCCTCTCATCGTTAGCGCCATTAGCCTAGTCGTAGCGTAGCCAGCATCACAGGAGCAGCAGCCCTACCAAGGACACCCAGCAGATGTTTACCTTCCTAAACCACTTAGTTTCTCTCTCCAGACCAAAGATGATTCCCTCAGTCGTGTCCTGGGGTGGCCCCTGGGTCTCCTCCCTGGAAGTACATACCTAAAACACCTTAAACCTCAGCAGCTAACTGCCTGAACCTCCTCAGCTGGCTCCCGTTGATGAGGAGGAGCAGCAGCTCCATCCTGACCCTGGGCCACCTCGTAGAAGAAAGTCAATCCAGCTTTCTTCTACCAATCGTGACTCAAAGCTCTGGATCACCACTGGGGAGAGGTGGCTCTGGAGGTCGGTCCATCGCAGCATCAGCTGGTCTATCCCACAGCTTAAGTGCCTGGCCAATCACAGTGCTCTACGTTTGTTGGGCGGGCTTAGCACCACAGCTGTGATAAAGAGAAACTACAAAGATGGCATCAGCTCAGGAACAGCTTTGGATGATTTAGACTTGGGCTTCTCTGTGAGACGCGAGCAGATAGAGGTCCTTTAACCAGAAAGGATGTAGATGCTTCTTCTTCTTCTTCTACAGACGGCCTCGTTGACCGCTGCAGCGATGAGTACAGCGGTTGTTTGTGGCTCTGATTGGTCCGAGCTCTGCGCGGAACTGTTTAACAAACAACCATAGACTCCTTCCACCTCTGGGTTCTTTCAACACCTATACCCCCCCCCCCCTCCCCCCAGTTGGTCTCATCCTTCAAGCTCGGGTCCTCTACCAGAGGTCTGGGAGCTTGAGGGTTCTGCAGTATCTCTGCTGTTCCTAGATCTGCTCCTTTCTGGACTGAGATGTCTGATGTTTTTCCTGGGATCTGCTTTAGCCACTCCTCCATCTGGGGGTCACTGCCCCGATGCCCATGGACACCACCGAAGTCTTCACCCTCCAGGCTTCCTCGTGTTTTTCTTTGAGGCTCTGGAACTTCTCTAGTTTCCCGTGTTCCTTTTTCCTGATGTTGCATCAGTTGGTATCGCTGCATCAACCACAACGGTCCTCTGTTGTTTAACCCTAACCACCACAAAGTCCGGTTGGTTCTCCATCACCGTTTTGTCGGGCTGGATCTGGAAGTCCCACAGGAGCTTGGCTCTCTTGTTCTCAACCACCTTAAGGGGGATTACCCCCTTTGTCCCGGTGGGCCACTTAGCCAAGTGGGCTGCTCTACAGTTGGTGATCTGCAGAACATTAGCTACATGGTAGCCCGAAGCTAACAGAGTTTTTCCAGGCACTTTTAGAAAGAAAAACGCGGTAGAGCGATGACGTAGGAGTTGTTTTACTGCGTTAGCATGTAGCTAACGTCCCGCTGGTCTCCACCCGTGGAGAATGAGCTGATCTGGAAGGCCAGGGCTCCCGGTCGCAGCGGTCTGGCCCTGTTTGTAATTTAACAGTCCCAGTCCATATTAGACCTCACATTCGGCCTAGAGACGAGTCCGCGGGCGGCAACACCCCCCACCCCCACCGCTCTCCCAACGGGGAGGGCCGACGCTTTGTAAACATGCCAGGGCCGAGTTTTGGTCCCAGTCCACCCGTTTCCAGTGCTTACTCTGCACAGATGTCCCTGTACACGATGCCAGCCTCTTGGTTGTGGCGTTCCATGTCTGCTTTTCTTGTATGCATGACCTGCCAGGCTACTCTTAAACCTCATCTTCCCAAAAAAAAAAAAAAAAATAAATAAAAATAAAAATCAGGGGAATAACAAATTCCCAGGATAATACACACAAAGACACGATTGTCCTAATCTCCGATAGACAAAAATCTTCGGTTTTATTTGAATTTGTTTCTATTTATGGTTTTTATCTCCAGGTCACCAAACAGGAATAAATCCTATTAATGCTTCTGTTATCAGAACAACCAAACAGCTAAACCAGCTCTTTTATCAAGATCAATGATGTCTGAACACAAATTCATAAATAACATTAAAGTCTTCGGCTTTTTTCCGTTTCCCACCAGGAAAACGTTCTCAGGCCTTTAAACTCCAGTCTGTAATTCGTGGGAAGTTACCTGAACTCCCAAGCCTCCGCTCGCGCCCGTCGGGAATGTGGGCGGACTTCTCCAGAGACGTTTAGAGGTGAATCACGTCTGCAGCTAAACTCCACATGAATTTGCTGCTCCGTGCACGTGCACATGCACGTGTGAGTGTAGCCGTAAATTCGTGCACATATTCCTGGTAAGTCTGCCTCTAACAGACCCATAAAGATAATCTGGCAGCTTGATGGGAAAACATTTGGAGTTTGTGTGTCTGTGTGGGTCCAGGAGTTCAATCATGTTTATACGTATTTATCTCTGCCAGCAGCTTAACGGGCGTCCATGTTTCTGTGTGTCTGTTTGGATCCATAAACCGAAGACCATACAGAGCCGGCGGAACAAAGAGAACCTGCTCCACGTTGGTGATGAGGTCACAAGGTGGAGGAGGCGCCGTCAGCACCGTGGAAACGCTCCAACTTAACTAAGGTGGATCGATAAACCAGGAAGAAGTTAATGGAAATGTTTTCTGAGGCATAAATCTAACAGATATTACAAAAGTTTCATCCAAGCTTCCTCGGGTTCACTCGTCTTTACAAACTCTGGTATAAATGAATGACTTGGGACTTGATCTTTGTGGGAATAAAAGCTCTAGCGCTCCTGTTTCAGGACTAGAAGTTAGCCAGAGGAGGGCGGCGTAGAAAACCGCAGGACTTGGGAGTCTTATTTCCTGGTATTTGGACGCCTCACCTCTGATTTGCTCGCAGCAACACATCACCACCACCGTAGTCTCTAGAAACAACTCCTGCAACATCCTTGCTTATGTTCGAAGACATCTTGGAAACTTCCTTGGGAAAACTGCTCAGCGATTCGAGGCCTAAAGAAAGGAATTACGACCGAAGGATTCTGCCCCGTTTGAATTACACAGAAATAAGTCCTGAAACTGTTTTGAGATGCAACTACAAGAGTTTTCTTGATGTTTCCAGAAAATCTAAAAGTAAAGTAAATAAAAATTAATTAAAATGCTGCATTTGTTGTTTTGAAGCCTCCGCCACTTTTATGAGGACTAGTTTACGTCTGCTTCCAGGTTCGTTTGTGACTTTCTCTTTCTTTGCCATAACTTAACTTAAAGGTGCAATATGTAAGAATGAAGTAAGCTCGACACCCTGTGGTCATACGTGAGTACTGCAGTCCGTATTGCTAAACAAAAAGTCACTTTCTCACCAGCGTTTCGTGAGTTGCACGGCTGTTGCTCATTACGGATCAGCACCGGAACATTCCAGATGATGAGCAGAGACGAGTCATACACAGGAAGTTGTATGGTGTTAGCATTTTGGCTGTTTTACGGTAGGGAGCACTTACTACACCTATTACAGTAAAATGCCTCTGGCATTACAGGAAGTGTGGTTGTTTGTCGTCTTGCTGTTAGCTTGCTGCTATAGTTCTGACCGACTCATTAAAGGACGTAAAACGCCACTATTGACTTATTCACTTCACACACATTTCACTGTAATATCCTGTTGTTGGTCATTGGAAAAAGTAGCTTTGGATATTTTTAGAGCCGTCTGTTTGGTTTTAATTCACCATTAGCATTGTTAGCTCAATGTCACCATTAGCATTGTTAGCTCAATGTCACCATTAGCATTGTTAGCTCAAAGTTGGCCTCTGATCTGCTTCACCTGATACTAAACAAAAAGATACCATAGCTTCTAGAAGAAAATAAATGGCTTTTGGGTCGCTCCACTTTACTGGCTTCTGTTCTTTCGACACCAGAAAGACAAAAAGCTCCAGAGTTGTCTCACTGCAAACGCCGGCGCTGCTGCGTTAGCGTGGTACAGAATCGGCAACCTCACAAACTCACTGGTTGTAAACAAAACTACGCTCCTCTTTTGTCGTCTGAAAGGAGACAAAGCAACATTAAAACCATCCTTCCATCAGGATTAGTCTGAGATTAGACTGTCCTGTGATGATTTCTCAGTGGAATTCTTACAAATTGCTCCTTTAAACAGAAAAACAGAACCATCTCGTGTGTGTGTGTGTGTGTGTGTGTGTGTTTCACTCACACTCCACAGAAAGCCTCAGCGTCTGCGCCCACGGCCGCTCCTGTGTCCTCTGCTCCACCATGCAGGTGACCTCCCTGCCGTTATCCGCCGCCGTGGGGACCAGCCGGTACTCGCTCCGTACCGTCACGATGCCGTCCGGCCCGTTCGTGGTGCTCGTCGAATGATTCCCTCCAACCGATGCCAGCCACTTGATGGTGGCGGCCGGTTTTGCGTCCGCCGCCTCGCACTGAGCCACCACCAAAGATCTGCTGCCGGCCTGGACCGTCACCACTCTGGCCGAGTTCCTGGGTTTGGCTGGATGGGAGGAAACAGTACGGAGGATCAGAGAGAGACAAAGACGAGGGAGTCTTATGGAAAAGGAGGGTGGAGGGGGACGGATCGCAGCTTGGGGAAGTCCAGAGGAAGAAGAAGAAGAAGACAAAGGTCAGATAAATCCAGACTCATAAACGTTTGGGTTCTTTTTGTGAATCGTTCTGGCCTCCTAACTCAAAGGGTGAGCCAACAGACAACTCAGTGGTGTCTCAGACCCGTTTAGCTTTAGTCTCTGTGAGAAAGATGAGCTAACTCTGGGAGATGGGTGGGGAGAAGATTAAAAACACAATCTGGAACACCTTCAGACATCTCCATGACGACTGGCTTTAGTTAAGGTCCAGTTTTAAACCGGGCCTTCAGGCTCAGGCTGGTCTACCTGAATATTTGAAAATACCAAAGGTATCAGAGTCTGACAGACAGAAAATATTCTCTTAGCCCCAACGAGATGAAAGCGTGTCACACGAGACGTTCGACTGAAGGATGACGCGACTCTCAGGTCCTGTCGAGTCTTTGTCAAACGTCTGATTCTCCGACTCTCCGAAGACAATTTTCCCTCTTTTGTTTATCTGCTAAAATACTAAATCCAGCCTGAAATGCTCGCTGGTAAAAGATTACAATGAGGATTCGTTTATTCTGTGGTGTTATTCTGGACCTGAGGACCTTCTGTACCGTTTTTTATGCTAACAGGAAGTGGTTTTACGGACGCGGTCGCTGGCATCTGGTTTCATCAGCACCAATTTAAACTCCGCAACAAAATATCAAGTTTCCAAAAAGTGGAACTGACGTGTCTTCGCTTTGGTCGGATGTAGACATCAGCCTGGAGCAGGTCGTCACTGGCGGTCTTTCTTCATCCTGCTGACTGGAACCATCGCAACGTCGCAGGAACCACGACAGCGTCAGTGATGTCACACATGAGCATCATCTCGTTGTTGCCCTCACAGACATTAATAATCGCTCTCTATGAAGTGGTAAATGGCCTGATTTTGATATAGCACCTTCTAGAGGCGCTCTACATATTCACACCCTGGTGGTGATGAGCTACACCGTAGCCACAGCTGCCCTGGGGCGCGCTGCCGTACACAGACGCCACCGGTTCCTCCGACCACCACCAGCGGGCTAGGGGGGGTTCAGTGTCTTGCCCAAGGACACAACGACCGACTGAGTGGGACTCGAATCTGCGACCTTCTGATTACGAGCGAGCACTAAGCTCCTGTGCCGCCGTTGCCCCAAAGGAACTCTTGGTCTCCGTGGAAACCAGCAGCATCGATGATTGACTATTGGTGATAAAGGCGGCCTAAGTCATGCCCATCTGAATGGGAGTCTATGGATAAGTTATCTCCTCATCCCGTTTGGTATCCGCCATGGACGTCACATATGATGCCCGTGAGCTTTAAAGACATTTTGATGGCTTGTTTTCAAACGGAGGCAAAAGTTATTTCAGCTGTTTTTATACGACTACAAATTGATGTCATCAAAGCAGACACGGAGAGGAGGAGCTTAAAGTTTAGCGAGCTTCCAATCCTTCTCCCAGGATGAAAGAGGGAACTTTAACCATGACCACCATGAATCCGGTCACGTGGGTAGCAGCTACGCTGGGGAGAGGAGGGTCCTCTGTGATGTCACATGTGATTCAGGGCATCAGGCAAAGCGGGCCAGGAAATAACTTTTAGATCCCGTTCAGGGGGAGGAGCCTCAGGATTCCTGTAAAAACATCTTCTCCAGCGTTCCGTAACTTCCTCGTCTCAGTCTCTCCAAGCACTGGACTTCGGAAAGACGCCCAAGATCCGGTTTCTGAGGTCGGAGGTTCAGATCTCGCCTCAGGCTTTGTGTCGAGTGTCACGCTTCACGTCTTTGATTCCAGCTTCAGCGACACGTTGAAGCTTCCTCCTGCCTCCTCCGGCGCTCGTTTCATCATCGAGTGATTGACTTGTCAGTCTGGCCGAGTCCTGAGTTTAGACGGTTCGCTCCACCCGACTGACACGTCGGGAAAACTGGACACCGTTTCCTGGTTGGAATCAGTGACGTGAAATGTTAACATTTAAAATTTAAACATAAAAGGACTGAAGAGCTCCATTACTACGTTCAGCTCAGGGTTCTACGTTCTTAAGAGTTTAACACTTTACTGCTGAGGGCATTAAAGTTCCTCTAAAATGTTAAACTTATGCAGCGTTAAACCACTCTGGACTTGGTTTCCCTGGCGAACCTGACAAAAAGCCTTTGTGAGGCTAAACAACAGAAGGCATCAATGAGAGCCGGGAGCAAAAGGACTGAATCTAACGGAGACGATAATAAAAGACTGAGAGCGGCCGAGCAGAATGGGTAAGAGTGGCAGAACGGGATTCTGATTGATCTGGGAGCTTAAATGAGTCAGGAGTCTCCATCCCTGATGGGATCCGTGACGCTGCATCAAATGGAGTCGACTCTTTGGGTCGGCCCGAGGCTTTCCAACAGTCATTAGGAGGCGAGAGGGGGTGGCGCTGCTCACACAGCTCAGAGAACAGGATTAAAGTCACTCAGATCCACCTTTCATCCCTTTTTCTCTAATATTTACACTTTGTTCCAGAAAACCTGGTTAGTCACTAGGGCTGCACGATATTAGGAAAACCTGCGATATTCGATAACAGTGCTTAAAATTGCGATATCAATATTACTCACGATTAGAGCTGAAACAACTAATTGATTTAATCGATTATAATCGATTATTAAAATAGTTAACAACTTTTTTAGTCATCGATTAGTTGTTTAATAATCATATTTTACCGCATAAAGTCTATTTTTTACCACAATCTGACATCGGTTACAAGCTGTTAAATTTGCCGCCAGTGTGTGGCAGTAATGAGCCACTGATCTACCAGTGGAGCCGTAGAAGAAGAAATGAGCCAATGGGTGCCCTCGGTTTTCATGACGTATCACGTTACTGACGCTCATCTTGCTGTGAGAGATGGCGGAACAAGAGGAAATACGGAAGAAAAATAGAAGCGACAAAACTGAAGAGAAACCCCGGACAAAAACCTCACGAGTATGGGAGCACATTTGAGACGAAAGCATGTGGGGGCTGATGCAGCAGAGGAAGAGCACCGCGGTCAAGTGAGCCGTCATTTGGAAGAGCCAGCCCGGTAAGTAACAGAAAATAAACAAGCTGGACTTAGTGTTTTAGCTGAGTTCGTTATACTGGATGTTAAACATGTTTTTTTGCCGCGTCAGTTTACGGTGTTCTACTTCTGATTGACTAGATGCAATCGTGAATCTCCTCCGTGTTGTGTATCATGCGCTTGCCAAATTTAGCACGTCTGTTTATAAGAATGTTCTCGTTAAGAGAAAAACGGCACAAACCCATAACTATGTTCCTCATTCAAAAAAGGACAACTCCGCGGAGAAAAATATACAGACAAGCTGTGTCCAGGTGAATATAACGCGGCATAGTTGTACACTTTCAATTTTTAAATACAGGAGAAATTCAGAAAAAGTCATTTTTTACTATTAAAAGGCTGTTTTACTATCTAACGCTGTAAAACGCCTCACAACACATTTTTATCATGTTTCTTAAACAGTATTACACAAAATAAACATTTTTCACATTTCTCTGGCTAATTTAAACACTCCCGACTCAAAGTAAAAACCTCATGAGCTTCTTACTTAGAGCTTTTTAATAGTAAAAATGTTTTACTTTTTTTCTGAATATCTCCTGTTGCGGGCTATTTTGTAGAACGTAACCCTCAAAATAAATGATCACTGTATATTGTTAATTAATTCAAATAATATAATATTGATTTAGTGTTGTAGTGTGTGTGCTGCTTTATTTTATATGTGTACTTATTTCAGTCTATTTGTGTTTCTTATGCAGAAAAAAACAAGCAACGATGGACAACTACATGGGGAAGAAGACACTCACCCCCCAGCAATTCATACCACTTACAAACTCTATTCTAAACATGCTGGTAAAAGACATGAGGCCACTATCCATGGTGGAAGGAGCAGGCTTCCAGCTAATGCTAAACTGCACAATTCTCTTATGTTTTTTTGTTCTTAACTGAAATGCATCCATCACTTGTATAGGTTAAATAGCTAAACAATAACAAACCGATTAATCGATTAATCGAAAAAATAATCGACAGATTAATCGATTATGAAAATAATCGTTAGTTGCAGCCCTACTCACGATAAATGAACAAATACTAAAGTATGCAGTGTTGATGTTGTCTGGCGTGTGACGTCTGCTCTGGGTTCAAAGCAAACAAAAACTAATGCATGAATTCCATTACAACATAACATTTTTATTGCAAAAATATGCAGCTGCACCTGCTACTGCATTAGCAGCTGCACCTGCTACTGTATTAGCAGCTGCACCTGCTACTGTATTAGCAGCTGCACCTGCTACTGTATTAGCAGCTGCACCCGCTACTGTATTAGCAGCCAAACCTGCTACTGTATTAGCAGCTGCACCTGCTACTGCATTAGCAGCTGCACCCGCTACTGTATTAGCAGCCAAACCTGCTACTGTATTAGCAGCCAAACCTGCTACTGTATTAGCAGCTGCACCTGCTACTGTATTAGCAGCTGCACCTGCTACTGCATTAGCAGCTGCACCTGCTACTGTATTAGCAGCTGCACCTGCTACTGTATTAGCAGCTGCACCTGCTACTGTATTAGCAGTTGCACCTGCTACTGTATTAGCAGCCAAACCCGCTACTGTATTAGCAGCTGCACCCGCTACTGTATTAGCAGCCAAACCTGCTACTGTATTAGCAGCTGCACCTGCTACTGCATTAGCAGCTGCACCTGCTACTGTATTAGCAGCTGCACCTGCTACTGTATTAGCAGCTGCACCTGCTACTGTATTAGCAGCTGCACCTGCTACTGTATTAGCAGCTGCACCTGCTACTGTATTAGCAGCTGCACCTGCTACTGTGTTAGCAGCTGCACCTGCTACTGTATTAGCAGCCAAACCTGCTACTGTATTAGCAGCCAAACCTGCTACTGTA